ATTATATGTGTGTGTGGTGGTGTGTGTGTGTGTGTGTGTGTGTGTGTGTGGTTGTGTGTGTGTGTGTGTGTGTGTGTGTGTGTGTTTGTGTGTGTGTGTTGGGTGTGTGTGGTGTGTGGTGGTGTGTGTGTGTTGTGTGTGTGTGTGGTGTGTGTGTGGTGTGTGTGTGTGGTGTGTGTGGTGTGTGTGTGTGGTGTGTGTGTGGTGTGTGTGGTGTGTTGTGTGTGTGTGTGTGTGTGTGTGTGTGTGTGTGTGTGTGTGTGTGTGTGTGTGTGTGTGGTGTGTGTGTGTGTGTGTGTGTGTGTGTGTGTGTGTGTGTGTGTGTGTGTGTGGTGTGTGTGTGTGGTGTGTGTGTTGTGTGTGTGTGTGTGTGTGTGTGTGGTGTGTGTGTGTGTGTGTGTGTGTGTGTGTGTGTGTGTGTGTGTGTGTGTGTGTGTGTGTGTGTGTGGGTGTGTGTGTGTGTGTGTGTGTGTGTGTGTGTGTGTGTGTGTGTGTGTGTGTGTGTGTGTGTGTGTGTGTGTGTGTGTGTGGTGTGTGTGTGTGTGTGTGTGTGTGTGTGTGTGTGTGTGTGTGTGTGTGTGTGTGAGACTACAGCAGATGCGCTGATTATATGTTTTTCACATTACACAGCATAAAATATAACCGCAGTGTGCCAATAACCGTTTTGTACGCAATCTTGTGCAAAATCCTCCGTTTCAAACAAGTTCCGCCAAATTGCATGCCAGTGCCCAGAGTTGCAGAGAGCTATCAGCATTTTTTTTTTCTAAAGAATTAGCTTCAGATTAGGCGGGTTTGTTTAGTTGGAAGTTATGTTAATTTGAGGGAATTTCGTTATCAGCAAGTGATTTTAACTTTTTGTGGCATTCTGAAGCATGCATTGGAACAATTACTAGGCAGTGCCACTGGACACGTTCGACAGGCGTGGACACATTCACTGTCATTCCTCAACGTTTTCAGGATCGCTCATATGTAACTCGAACTGCCTGTGTGGATTCTGGAACGTCCTATATGCAGTTACGCGCGTGATGCGAAACATATTAGGTGCATTTAGCTGTGATTTAGCTTTCATAGTGCACGCTAAATGCCTCGTTGGTTGAGAACCTGCGTAAAAAACGCAGATATCGGTTTTGCGGAACAATTGAGACGAAGTAGTATCATCACGGATGAAATTATGGCTCACTGTGATGATGATTTGGGTGTCCACGTCGAGCATCTGTCCGGTTTTCTCCTTCTTGTTCTCCCGCGGGAGCTTGGTCAGCTTTCGTTCGGTTGTTAATCTAGCATCCCTCTTCAGCTTGCTGTATGTTCTATCACTCACACCGCTGCCCAGCCTCCGAGTGCACCCTGCCTTGTTTATGACTACTGTGGCGTTGCCTTTGCAGCTGGGAGTATGTGGTACTGTCGTCATTCTTGAGTTTTTGATGGCTGCTCGTTCTTCGTTGGTCACGTTTGGCCTTCTCTGACTTCCCAGCGTAGATCATGCCTCTATTCTCTCTGATTCGCAGCTATTTCATCTGTGAAAAACACAGACTTAAGCTTATTTCGACCATGTTTTACAGGTCATACAATTCAAACAATCTAATGGAAGATCTGAAGGTGTTGTACAGGACATGCGGCGTCCAGGGCAAAGGCACTACATCATCTTTACCGATCAGGACATCAAGGAAGAGGCTTTTCTCGAATACATCAACAACGTTCTGGCATCTGGTAGGTATAGGGTAGTTAAAAGTGTCAAAAGAAAAACTTTTGATTAGGTCCGAGTGCCCGCCAGTTTGAATCAATAATAGCCCACTCGATGTACCGAAGCAAGCTCACTTAATTCATTAATCTAACTTAAGTATGTGTTACAGTGCGTTGTAGCCAAGCAAATGGGCCAATCTAGTCTGACTTACTTTCGGAGAGTTCAGTAATAGGTTCAGCCGGCTGTAACTCGGCCCTGATGAGATGAGCTGGGGGCTAATGCTGGCAAAGTGCGACATTTTCTACGGGCCTAGACAAATAGATCAGTGAACTGTGTGACATATAAAGTCGTAGCTGCTACATGCAAAGACACCGTACTTGCAATACTTGCAAGCTATGTCAGACTTCTCGTACTTGCAAAAGATGTCATACTATCCATCGCTGCCATCAGACTCGCATCTGGAGATATCTATCGGGATGGCGAGATATCTAGCGATATTATTTAATGCCACTCATGGCTTCCTGTTCGTGAACTTTACCTGAAACATGGAAGCCGATTACAGTTGGCGTCGGTCCTCGGCAGGGCTGATCTCCAACCTGTTCAGCCGGGACGAGACGCAGGAGATCTGCGCCGAGCTGACGCCAATCATGAAGCGTGAGCACCCGCGCCGCTCGCCCACGCCCGAGACGCTGCAGGACTACTTCCTCTGCCGCGTCCGGCAGAACCTGCACGTCGTGCTCTGCTTTTCACCGGTACCCGTCCCTCTAACGCTCGGGGGTGGTCACCATGTGCGGCCAGACCCCCCCCCCCCCCTCCCCGCTCTGAACTCGGCCCTCGTGTCGGACATGGTCCTTACGTACAGGGACATCCATCACACTCAGATGTGATCATTAGTTGCTTCCGCTCGCGGTATGACTTCACATCACTGTTATTTGCTAAAAGACCACTTTTTACCAGGTGGAGCATTAAGGCTACTGGTTAGCAAGAAGCAAGTCTTGCCGGTCCGTGCCGTGCCTGTCCTTCCTGGTTGTTTTGTACGTACTCCGATGCTGAACACAGCTTACTAGTCTTGTGCAGGCTCCACTTGAAGACGCCGCTGTCTGATATAGGCTCCTCTTGAGAACGCCGTTGTTTGGTACGGGCTCTGCTTGAGGACGCCACTGTCAGGTGCCGGCTCCGTTTGAGGATGCCGCTGCCTGGTGCAGGCTTCGATCGAGGAAGTCGCTGTCTGGTAAAGGCTACTTGAGGACGCCGCTGTCTTGGTACAGACTCAACTAGAGGACGCTGATGTCTGGTGCAGACTCCACTTAAGGACGCCGCTGTCTGGTGCAGGTCCCGTTTGAGGACGCTTCTGTCGGGTGCAGGCTCTGCTTGAGGACGCCGCTGTTCGGTGGACGTCTGATAATGCTGGCAATGAGTTCAATTGAGGGGAAACCATTGCTGTAGTGGCTCTATTCTAAGACGTTGCATGCTGGCTAATTCCCCGGGTTAAGCCAACCTTCTCGGCATGTTGTGTCGGGCACATCTCGGGATCGTTGGGAACCTGCCATCTTAGCAAATGTCTTAATGGCAGCTTTCATGTCAGGCACAATAATCAATAGCTCGTCGCTGTCAGAACCTTCGTATGTTCCACGGTGGCACCATTGGCTTGGCTGTGGTTGCCAAGGAGACTCATGTGCGACCGGTCACATGCATTTACAATATGACTGGCTCAGCTCCCGCCGTCTCCCACCGATTGTGTCGCCCCGTGGCGTCCGATCAGACGAACGATGCGCTGTACTGGCTGCTGATAGCAGCTCAGCCGGTGCTCGATGGTCGGGCACCTATATCCGGCCGTCGACACCGGCGGATCGGCTTCGACGCGTCCCGTGTCCTGTATGAGGCTTACATGCCGTCGTGGGGATTTCTGGAGACCAGCCTCCTGGTTATTCGTGTGCTTGGCGCCTGATGTCTTTTATCAATTCCTTTTGTACGTATAAATGTATGTATTTTTGCGTAAAGTATAGATGATGGTACGCATAGATACTACGTATCGATGATTTGTGTATTTTAGGTCGTATCCTGCATGAGGCTTACATGCCGTCGTGGGGATTTCTGGAGTTCAGCTCCCGGTTATTTCGAGTGCTGGCGCCCGGTGTCGTGTACCAATTCGTTATGTGCGTTGTAGATGTGTTTTTTTCGCCAGAACACCGCACAGCGCGAACAGATGACGTATGTATGCGAGTGAAGGCATGACTTTACGTGTTATGAGCGACCCGACCAGGTCTCAGTTCAGCTGCCGTCCAAACTGAACTCGTCGGCTGTACGTCCGGGTCCCTCGAACGCGGCGCTCCGTCATCACGCGTCCCAGTTCCGACGCCCAGTGGCCGTCACCTGCCGTCCCGACAGACACGGCAGGACCACCGGACGTCACCCGAGCGCGCACCTGTCCCCCCAGGTGGGCGAGAAGTTCCGCTCCCGTGCGCTGCGCTTCCCGAGCCTGGTGTCAGGCTGCCACCATCGACTGGTTCCAGCCGTGGCCGAAGGAGGCGCTGATCGCCGTGGCGCCAGCACTTCATTGACAGCTTTACGCTGGCCTGCACGCCCGAGGTCCGGCGGGAGCTGGTGCAGGCCATGGGTGCCGTCCAGGACACGGTGGCCGACTACTGCATCCAGTTCTTCCTCAGGTCAGTCGTGCCGCGGCGTACGGCTCTTCCTCGTGTGTTTACGGTACCTGGATCTTCTTCAGACCAGTCAGACCCTGGCGTTCAACTCACATTGAATCAGTGTACCAGTGTCATCAGTGTAGTCAGTGCAATCAGTG